TTTTTAAAGTCTGTCTTCAGAGTACAACCAGTATGATTAACTGTGCCTTTAACAAAATTATTCAACTTCTAAACAAATTCAGTATCTAAATGTATCTTCATGAATGTAACTGACAAAAAGAGGGGAAAGAATTTCACAGCAGACCAAAAAACAATCACAAAATAAAGGTTTAATTACACTTAAAAAAAAATTCCAAGAAAATAAACAACTATTCCAGTAAAAAAAAAAAAAAAAGAATATTATCTTTAGAGTTGGGAGTCATTCATGACGAGGGGAGGTTTTGAAGCAGCAGCATGCCAACCAAAGCCATCCATGGCAGTGTCAGGACATCAGGACCTTTTCTCTGCCTGTGCAGACCATGAAATTGCTTCTCCTCTTCAGCCCAGAGCTTCAGACACCCTCTAAGTTTAAGACAATGGAAAATTGTGTTTATGATACCATTATATGATTTCTCTATTTCAGGAAAGTTCAAGAAAGTATAAATTTCTCTCCCAATCCCATTTTATTTGGTTCTTATCTTTGATTCACTGATTTTTTTAGATTTTCAACTGTTGTTCACAGCATATATTGCTTTGGCTCAAGACTGAGGGGTTTTCTGAGAGTGGAACTTTTAGTGTAAAAACTCAAACAGTTGTAGGCAGGTAGGCTATAGGGCACCCTAAGGTTGCTGGGGATCAAGATACATAAATGGGTAGGACAGGTTCTCTGGCATAGAAGAGATTGTCTCCCTGACATCTGACACTTGTGCCAGGTGAGATACAGCATTGGAAAAAGATAAAGTGTAGGTACGAGAATGGTGTGGATTACAAGAGCCAACCTGGACTTCCCTATTTAATTTTGACTGATTATTTCTGCCAGAGGAAGAGCTGGGCTGGAGGAGGTCTGCAATTCTTAAAACATCTGCTCCTAAAGTTACCTTGGAAAGCCGGTAAATAGGGATACATTAGACTCTGTTGACACTGTATCAATCTTAATTTATTAGGAGAACAATTAAGGGACTGAATTCTTGCACATTAAAGTTGGTTCTGTAAACTGAGTATGGTGGCATGAGCCTGTAATCCCAGAATTTAGGGAACTGAAGCAGCAGGATTGCTTTGAGTTCGAGGACAACCTGGAGTACATAGTGAGACCCTTTCTCAATTAAAATAAAATAACATAAAGTTGGTTCTGTGCCTACAGACTTTTGAGTACTCCCAGGAAATGCTAAGATTTCCTAGAATTCTAGTGCCTTTGTGGTGGTTTAAAGAAAATAACACAGTCTTCAAATTAGTAAGTTTCTGAATCACAAGAAATAGGCTATTAAGAAAAAGAATTTACCATGCTAAAGAGAAAGCTGCTTGTTTGTGGCCTTTTTAAGAAGTACATTTTTTTGAAGAGCTACAAAATCAGAATTAATTTTCTGCTTTTCATTAGTTAAAAACACATTCAAAACTAATATAGTATAAATTTGCTTTTCATTATATTTTTTTTGCATTTTAGCAGAATCAGCATTTTTACATTTGTTTGTGTAACTGTTAATGAAACATTCATGTACATTGGCTTTTGATTATTTGCTGTTATTAACTCTTAAGTGTGACAGTAATGCACACATAGCAAAGTTTGAGAATGGATGACCGTGATGACTCGCTCTGCAGTGACTGATTACGCCTTTATCTCTTTTAGAAATCAGGTATTATGACGAGCTGTGCACAGCGATGGCAGAGGAACTGAATGCTGTCATTGTCTCCATTGAGTAAGTAATTGATGCCAGTCACAAGAATTTTTATCAAGACAGTCTATGTGAAGGTTCATAAACTTTATTTTGGAGGTGACACATTAGAATGTAGAATAGAGCCAGAGAGGGCCAGTGAGATAGCTCAATGGACTAAGCACCTGCTTAAGCAAGCACAGGGACCAGGGGTTCGATCCCTGGCAACACATGCCACACCTATAGAATTAGGTTATATAACTTGGACTTTGCGAATAGCAATAATTAGTTTCAAAAATCTTAATGTATAATTAGTTGTAATAGTCATCTTAATGTTCTGAGTTGTCTCTACCAGTATGTTTTAAGTCACCTTTTTGGGCAACTAAGAATAGGAATAAGAATAATAACCCTCTGGGATACCAGGGACAGAAAATTGTATACTGGGCACATTTACAAAAGCCTGTCTCAAATCCCTGGGTTCAAACGCATGCTTAACTGGTCACCAAGTCTGGGCGTGCTGGCGTATGCCTGTAATCCCAGTGCTGGGGAGGGTGAAACAGGAGGATCACTATGAGTCTGAGCTGTGTAGCAAGACCCTGTACCAAATACATAAAAAGATAATAATAAGAAAACAGAACCAGAGGGTGATGGCCGGTCCTATACACCTAGCTACCTGGGAGCTGAGGCAGGAAGATGTCAAGTTCAAGGCCAGCAGGCTATAGGTGAGTGAAAAAAATCCTGGATTCCACCCCTTTTCCTGAAGGGGAAAAGTAGTATAAAATGAAAGTCCAGAGATGGAAAGATTTGTCCCACAACACACTCAGAATAATCAGGAAAGAATGACTGCCTTTGATGAAAATGCCTTGGACTTGTGGGCTAAGCTCCTGTTTTGGCAAGCGCAGGGACCAGGGTTCAATCCCCTGTCCTACTGTGCCATGCCAACCCTGCCCCTGGGGCTCACCTAGCCAGTGCCAAAGTCAGGATGTGGTGGCACACACCTGTAATCCCAGCCTTGGGGAGGCTGAAAACAGGAGGATCATTATGAGTCCGAGCTGCATAGTGAGACCGTGTACCAAATACATAAAAAAATAAAATAAAATAAAAAGTCTTGAGCTAGCTTTAATAATACCTTGAGTTACCTTCATATTTTAGTTTCAAAAACTCTAGGGAAAGGAAATAAAAGCTAGATATAGGGCTGGGGAGATAGTTCAGTGGCACAAGCACCTGCCTTGCAAGCACAAGGTCCTAAGTTTAATTCCCAAGTCCACCAAAAGAAAGCCTAGATACAATTATGTGCTTTTTTTTTTCTTTTTTTTGAAGCAGGGTTTCTCTGTGTTGTCCACGCTGACCTCAAACCTGCAATGAGCCTCTTCCCCTAACCTCCCAAGTGCTAGGATTTCCAAGCGTGCATCACCACATCCAGTAGTTACCTGCTTCATTTAAACTAAAAAGTAACCAAGATGTTAAAGAGAATCCTACAGCCAAGAAATGGAAAAATTATTCTTAGAATTAGGTTCTATAACTTGGGTTTTGTGAATAGCAATAATTAGTTTTAAAAATCTTAATGCATAATTAGTAGTAATAGTGATCATTTTAATGTTCTGAATTGTCTCTACCAGTATTTTTTAAGCTACCTTTTTGGGCAACTAAGAATGGGAATAAAAATAATAACGCTCTGGGATGCCAGGCACAGAAAATTGTATCCTGGGCACCTTTACAAAAGCTTGTCTCAAAAAATAAAAAAGAGCTGGAAATCTAGCTCAGTGTGAAATCCCTGGGTTCAAACCCCAATACCACAAAAATTATATCTGTCTCTATCTATCATCTTTATCTGTAATACACCTATATCTATATGTATACATATACCTATAGAATAAAAGGAACTAGGCATCTGGATGGGAGAGGGAACTGAATCCAGGTCAGATTGCTTCCAATATCCCTATACCCTTTTGATCCAGTACCAAACCAATACTGAAGGAAGTGGGTGGCTCTGAGTGATGGAGCCAGCCACGCGACATCCTCCATGTTCCAGGCCCCAAGCTCGTTCAGGTCTCTGCTTCCCTCCACCCCTCTACCAGATCCTCTGGCATTCAGAGCTCTCTTCTTTTGCCTCTGCTTCAGATCTGAGGTATCAGAGAATCTTTTCTTCTGTGGTCTGTTGGAAAGGCTGTTCTCTTGGAACTTGAGACCACTCTATCTTGTGACTAGAAGCCCCACAGCTACACTGAGTAGTTCCCTGGACACTAACAGCTCTGGGGTCTTTCTGAATGCTCACTCAGTCTCTCAGGTCACCCAAGAGCTTTCAGTGAGTTTAGGTGACTCAGAAAGCTTCAAGGAAGAGAAATGCCTTCCAGCCAGGATGGCCAACCAGAAGAGAGCAGGTCTGTTTTAAGCAGCCTCACCCCGTCATGGAGCAAAGCACCCAGCTCAGTGAGCAGGCCTGAGAAAGGGCGGTGGGCTTGTTTCCCTGGCACCATGAGTGGAACTTGTTTCATATAACTTAGGACAATCTTACTTTACACTGAGACTTATTTTATATTCATAAACTAACATTTGCATCTGTCTCAAGCAAAACTGGTGCTCTGTTTTGACTCTTGGCTTACCATAAAACACAGAAGGTGGATAAGATATTCTGAAGATTTTTCTGGGGGGGAACTAAAACTTAAAAGGGTTGCTGCTGTCAACTTTGCACTGTGCCTAATCTCCATCATGTAGTAACTAAACAATAGTTTTATTTATTGGGAGATATCACAGTATTGTGGCCAAGTACAGTTACCTGATTATGTGAGACTGCAGCAAATCACTTAAACTTTATGTACAAAATTGGTTTCAGAGCCCTTTCAAATGGGACAACTGGAAACAGAAAACAGAAATCTTACTTTAGGGTCCCCCGCACCCACTACAAGGTCTATCCCTGCCAGGTAAACGCCTATTGAGCTGAGATAATGACATCAGAGTGCTGCCAGGAACAAGTGTAGACAATCAATAGAAAAGGGCTTCCGGTGTCTTAAAGCACTAGACAAATCTGCAGGATTAGTACAGTAACTTGTAGGAAGAAAAAGGTAATTTACAAACCAGATAGCAACATATGTTTGGAATTCACAGCACACTCTTGGTTTTGGTCAGGCTCCAGCCCAGCCACAGTGCTACGACCCGTGATCCAGCGGAGATACAGCCAAGGTCATATGAGCATAGTGATTCTCTTGAAAAGAATGTTTGGTGACCTAACTGGAGGACATACTTCCTCTCACGGCCTTGGTCTTCCTTTTCTGTTCTATTCCATGAGTGCTGATTGTGCTGCTGCTCTGTGCCAGTTACCAGGCTCAACTGTGGTGACGCACAGAATAAGACTTAATCCCTATTGTCACCATCCACATGAGAAGAGAGGCCCTGGACACATGATGTTCAGTGTCGCAAGTGGTGGGAAGGAGAAGGGGGAGGAGAGCTGGAGGCCATCTGGCCGGAATTCAGTTTCCTGTGCCACCTAGGCAAGGCAGTACCTAGTGTGAAGGGCACAAAAGGCATCTCAGAGTCATGCTTGCCTTGAGCCCTCGAGGATCCACAGGTCATATCTAGATGATGCACTGCTTTTCAGAGTGCACAGGGGTGTGGTGAGAAGGCTTGGGAGGAGGAAGGAGGCAGAGGTGTGCATGTGAGAAAGGCAGATAGGAGGGCTTATGCCTCTGGTGGTGCGTGGTTCTGAGAGTCTTTGAGTGCACGGTAGGCCCTTGGGGCACTGCTTATTCCACCTCCTCCCAGCAGGGGAGCCGTCTGCCTCCTGCTGCTCCTCCTCCTTGAGGTCTGCAGCAGTGTTCAGTGGGGTTGAGGCTTTGTGGTATCACCAGTCATGGCCTTGGGGAGGAGTATGGGCCATGGAAGCAGACAGGCGCAGGTGCTGGCAGCCCTGGGCACAAATGCTATTTGTGTGATGCAAGCACCAGGAGTTGGAACGCCTTCGCTTCATGTCACCTGTGCTGGTGCCACCAGGGTTTGGGGACAGACCTAGCCATTGAGGCAGGTAAAGGCCTTTAGTTCTAAAAAAATAAGTAAATATTGTTCCTGATCTACTTAGTATCTTCTACAATGTTGCTATGCACTGTGTTTGGGAAATACCTGGAAAAAGCTCACCTTACCTCAGTTACATGGGTGTTTCCTCATTCACATAGCTTAGCACGATCTTCTTAGCTTAGCACTGATAGACTTTTATAATCATTATAAATCTCAGTGCAGGTTAGTTATAACACAGTGTCATTTTTACTTCTAGCCTGTTAAGTAAAACACAGTACTAGAACCATAAGGCAGAAAGAACAAGAAGTATTTAGTATCTTTTCTTAAAAAGTAAAATGCAAGATAATAAAGTGTTGTGTACATTGGACATTATTAAACTCTACAAGAGCTCTACCTCCCTTTTTTCAGTGTGGGAAACTGAAGTTGTGTTTCTCTCTCAGTTAATTTTTTTACTGCATTTGTGAACTGTTTTACAATGTAAATGCCTTAGACTTTGTCACATTCCACCAAATGTCAGGGGTCAGATGGTGATAAAGAGAGGAGTTTATGTCTTTTCAGAGCTTTAAGGAAGACTTGTTAATGCAGACAGACAAGATACTGGAACTCTGGTCTTAGATTGATGCCCATGGAGTTATAGGCAATAGGATTTTGATGCTTCTGTTTTATTCTATCTATAAAATCACACAAAAATGCAAGATGACAAAATCATAATGCCTCCGTGAGGCACAGTGGAAGACACATCTGCATTAGTAGTGGTCCATTTAACACAATCTGAAAAACAGGAAACGACAGTGCCCTTGTTATGAAATTCTCCTTTCTCCTTGTCCTGCTCTTCCCCAGAGTCCTGGACAGAGAATCCCCACTTATCACCCTCATTCAAGTACCCCCAAAGGTGGGCAGATTGAGTTCTGAAGAGTTTCACTCAAGAGCAGCAGCAGGAGGTTTGCTCAAAACATGCCTCTCACTCAGTCACGCCAACGATAGCAAGCCTAAATAGCATCATAAATAATTTAACACTACAGAGAGATAATACTGTG